TTATAACGCGGCTTAACACACACAAACTCAAACACGTAATTGATATTATTCCTAATTCCATAAAACTCTAATAAGAAACATTGCTGTCGCTTACCCTGAAATACTGTCGAACTTAAACGATTTATTATAGCCGTATTTTTAACTATTGGCCCAAAACTCTCACTTACATTGAACCTTTATGACTTCTGTGACATGCCCCCGAGAAATGCCACGGTTTTAAAACTACACTTTGTATAAAAACTCTTGGTTTAATAAGTTCAAAGTCTTGTTAAATCAATTGCCTGTCTGAAGGAAAATAAATATAAAAATAGTATGCTACTTAATAACATTAAGGTTGCTCTAAGGGAGGGTAAGATATATCGTTGCACTCTGAAAGGTTGAGGACTGGCAAATGGGTTGCAGCAGCCATTTTGTATTCTAGATGTTTCTATAAGGTTTTATTTATTATACTAGACTTCTTGCTTCCCGTTTGCGGCTTCGAGTTTTCTCTATTTGGTACTGATTTTTTCGGAGTAGTAAGCGTTATGCAATGTATAAATAACTAGCTTCTGCCCGCGACTTCGTACGCATATCCCATTTTTTCCCGTCCCCGGTCGTGATTTTCGGTAAAAAGTAAAAAAAAAATGTTGGTTAAAAAGTATCATATGTCGGTCTCCTGGCTCTAAGCTACCTCCCTACCAATTTTCAGCCAAATCTATTCTGCCGTTCTTGAGTTATAAGTGGTGTAACTAAAACGACTTTCTTTATATACATAGAAATAGATAATAAACTAGATGATGTCTACAGAATGCGTTTAGAGGTAAATTAATCCATCTCCAACTGTTAGAGTGCGGATATTGTAACATCCGACTTAGGTATCGAACAGCAGAACTGAAGAAGTTGAGCTCTAAGAAATTGAAGAAGAAATATGTATTTCAAATTAAAAAAGAAAAAAACAAATTGCTTGACCTGAAAACTAAACAACACATAACTGTCTGTGCAATATGACAATCACTCCGCAATTCTATAGGTACCAACTATAATAAAATGCTTCACAAAATAGATAGGTATTCAATCGACCGTCCAATCGATATAAAATACATTCGATACCATAACTTGTGCCACGTATCGATAAAAAAAAAGAATAACTCGAAGCAATATCTCGATTTCATATATCGTATCGCATCGGTACGTTTCGATTAGTTCCATCAATTTGTAGCATCAGAATGGTTTAGAAAATTTATTGTATCGATATGAGATATCGATTTTGATTCGATGACAGCGCTACTATCGTTCTAATCGGTCTTGTGTTTTATTGCTTTTCGTGTGAACGTCACTAAGATTCCTTTTGTTGAATGTATTGTATTTTTTAAGTGGCTGCATGTATGTGTGTGTTGGGTTCGATTTTTAAACCGGGGAATGTAGTTTGAATTATCAGAAATCACTCACCATAGGTAATATATCAAAATACTTTAATCACACTAATCTATATATATAAAAGAAAGTCGTGTTAGTTACACCACTTATAACTCAAGAACGATCGAATAGATTTGGCTGAAAATTGGTAGCGAGGTAGCTTAGAGAGACCGACATAGGATACTTTTTAAGCAATTTTTTGTTTAACTTTTTACCGAAAATCACGAACGGGGACGGGAAAAAATGGGATTACGCGTGCGAAGTCGCGGGCAGAAGCTAGTAGTAGATACAAGTGTGAAAGTTTCTTTGTTTTGATGTGTTTCCGTCAATCACGCTGAAACTACGGAACATCAATAAACAAAAAGCAAACTACCCAAAACAAGGAATTGACAGCATAAAAATAGGCAATAAAATTATAGACCATCCAGAACAAATAGCAGAATCACTAAATAATAATTTTATCAATCAAATTGAATCTAGAAGTGACATCAATAATAATAACAATTTGACAATAATCACCAATCCTAATTCAATATTTGTGACACCTACAGTACCCTTCGACATAATAAAAATAATAAACTCGCTCAAAAATACGAAAAGTGCTGGATACGATGACATAACCACCGAGACAATAAAAGCCACAGCTCCTAGTATTGCCCCGATACTTAGCCACATTATCAATGGTTGCATTGAAACAGGCATATTCCCAGAAAACCTGAAAATTACTGTAATCTTACCATTATACAAAAAAGGTGACAACCAGGATCCCAATAACTACAGACCAATAGCGCTTAGTTCGGTATTCTCCAAAATATTTGAAAAGGTGTTACATAAAAGCCTGAACTCTTACTTAGAAAGTAACAAAATTTTAATTGACGAACAATATGGATTCAGGAAAAACAAAAGTATCGATTTAGCCATATATAATCTAATAGAACACGTCTTAACAAACGTAGATAATAGAACCCCTGTAGTGTCATTGTTTATGGACATGTCAAAAGCGTTTGACTTTGTAAACCATGAAATACTAATAAATAAGCTAGAGAAATACGGAATCAGGGGTAATATACTTGAGCTCATAAAATCTTACCTGACAAATAGAGAGCAAATTACATACATAAACAAAATCTGTCCCTACACAAAAACCGAAAAGACATATACCTCTACACGTAGGAAGTGTCTATTCGGAGTACCACAGGGTAGTGTTCTCGCACCCTTGCTATTTATTATATATATCAATGACATGCCTAAAGTAATTAATAACCCAATGATACTATTCGCGGACGACAGCACAATACTATTTAAGAAAACAAAAGATGACGAGACTTTCGAAAAAGATATAAATGACAATTTAAATAACATCATATCCTGGCTAACCAAAAATAACTTAAAAATTAACCTAGAAAAAACGACGTACATATCTTTTGAACAAAGAACTATTTATAAAAATCTAAATATTCACTACGGTGACCAAAAAATTTATGCAACTGATAACACAAAATTCTTAGGCATAAGTATTGACAAAAACATGACATGGAAAACTCACGTTGAAAATATATGCAAAAAGCTCAGCCAGTACTCGTATGCATTATACAACCTAAGAAAAGTGTCAAATCTTCCAACATTAATAATGGCGTATCATGGATATGTTGCATCCACTCTAAGATACGGACTCAAATTTTGGGGCAACTCGCCAAATAAACAAAATGCATTTAAAGCACAGAAAAAGTGTATCAGAGCCATATGCGGCATACAAAATACAGAGAGCTGTAAACCACATTTTCAGCGGCTACAGCTGCTTACGCTTCCATGTCTCTACATATATGAGGTAGCCACTTTTGTTAAAGCAAACCTACACATATATACCCATCCAAAGAGCACACGACACAGACACGAAATATGCATAACACCTCACAAAAAAGCCATATTTAATAACAACATTTTGGGTATGGCACCCAAAATATACAACAAGTTACCAAATGCTATAACTAACATCAGCAGTGTAGACGAGTTCAAAAGGTCCCTACAAGTACACCTGGTAACAAAATGTTACTACTCCATCAAGGAATTTTTAGATGAAAGATGACTGCCTGCTGGATCCGATTTGCATTGGTGGCATTTGTTTTGATTTATATAGGAACAACGAAATTATCAGTAAAACTTTTAGTATGTTGTACCCACTGACTAGGTAATATGACTTAAAAAAAAAATGTACTGTTTCACGTTCATCTTGACATCCGCTAATGACTAATTTTAAAATTTTCATCAAGGACATTATCTTTATTTTTATATACATTCGTGACTATTGTAATAATTTATTCGAATGAAATTAATATTAATGACGTTATTAAATTAAATACTTAAATGTTTAACCTAATTTGTATGTGACATATCACAAAACATAGATGGTCAATATTATACCATGAAATGTAACATCCCATTGTACCTATGTTTACAAATAAATATTTTCATTTTCATTTTCATTTTCATTTTCATTTAACAGATTTTGACGAGATTTGGTATACAGGCCGGGTATAGGCTGACTTAGATGATAGACTTTTATCCCAATGAAATGCTCCCATGGTAGCGGAATACGTGGGCAAAGCCGCGTGTAAAAGCTAGTTAAAATATAAAATGAGAATAAGTGCTCACATGTAATAGATGCATATGTACCTAGCCTTCACATAAAATATGAATTTATCTGATATTACAAATTGTACCTAATGTGTAATATAACTTTCGTGAGATATACTAAATAACATAACATAACATCACGCCTTTTATCCTCAAAGGGGTAGGCAGAGGTGCACATTATACCACTGTACAATGTAACACCCACTTTTCACTATTTATGTTATGAGTCCCATTCCCATGTAATAGGGGGTGAGCCTATTGCCATATACCGGGCACAGTTCCAGACTCCGTGCTACTACTGAGAATTTTTTAAAAACCCAGTAATACTTTGCCCGACCCGGGAATCGAACCCGAGACCCCTTGCTCGGCAGTCGCAATTGCGACCACTCGGCCAACGAGGCAGTCTATATACTAAATAAATTATTATGTTTTCGGCTTAGTCACTTAATAATTTGACGAGGAACTCGACTAGTTTCAAGCCATGTTAGAAGCTCATATTCATCAGCAGCATTAGGCGACCTGCGACGCGGCGACTGTCGCGCTGCTTGGCTTGAAACTAGTCGAGTACCTCGTCAAATTATTAGGTACGTGAGTGAGCCGAAAACATAATAATTTATGTACCTAATGTATTAGATTTTACGAATGTGTAAAGGAAAACATATATTGAGTAACATATATTGAGTTTCACTTTCCCATTTATTTATGTTTTATGTGAACCATCATTAATTTCAGTTATAAAACATTGTTCTGAAACACTACTCCACTACATAGTATAAAACAAAGTCGCTATCCGCCGTCTGTCTGTCCTTATGTGTGCTTAGATCTTGAAAACTACGCAACGGATTTTGATGCGGTTTTTTTCAATAGATAGAGTGATTCTTAAGGAAGGTTCATATGTATAATACATGCATATTGCACCTGTGCGAAGCCGTAGCAGGTCGCTAGTAACTATTAAAACCTTTTTGTTTCAGGCCTGAAGACAGTGGACAGTACCGATGTCGAGTAGACTTCATCAAATCGCCTACCAAAAATACTAGACTGAATCTCACTGTGCTAAGTAAGTACTTATACCATCTATATTAGTATTATAAAGCTGAAGAGTTTGTTTTTTGTTTGTTTGTTAGAACGCGCTAATCTCCGAAACTACTGATTCAGATTGAAAAATTCTTTTTGCGTTGGTTAGTCCATTAATCAAGGAAGGCTATAGGCTATAACACATCTCACTACGACTAATAGGAGCCGAGCAGTGCGGGTGAAACAGCGCGCAAGTTGCTAGTTTTCAATAAAGTTCAATTTTGCTAAACTTTCTGCCTCTAACTGAATCAAGGGTGACTTATAATCACAAGGAATCCGATTCGATTTGGTTCGAAATATGCAGTAGCAGCCTTATGGAAGGCAGCATCGTGTGTAACTTAGATTCGTTTCGGCTACATCTCAATGTTAATTTTAACCTACAATACAGAAGGAAAAAATATGAATAAACCCAATATTCATAAAACCAACTTTTTAAACCACTTAACATAACACCTTTTGTCCCTGAAGGTGAAAGCAGAGGTGTGCATTACGGAACTTGTTATCACTGTACAATGTAACACCCACTTTTCACTATTTATGTTATGAGTCCCATGTAATAGGGGGTGAGCCTATTGCCATATACCGGCCACAATTCAGGACTCCATGCTACTACTGAGATTTTTTGAAAAAAAACCAGTAATACTTTGCCGGCCCCGGGAATTGATCCCGAGACCACTTGACCTCGTCGCACAAACCAGTCGCACTTGCGACCACTCGGCCAACGAGACAGTCAAATTTCAACCTTTTAAACCAAAAAGATTTAATTAATCTTTTTCAACTTTTGAAATCAAAGATATGTAATAAATATTTTTATTTCGCAGTACCCCCAGAAAGGCTGATCGTTCTGAACCACGAAGGCAACGAGGTCCGAGGTGGAGTTCTAGGGCCTTATGATGAAGGAACCGAAGTCAACCTCACCTGCATCGCTGTGGGAGGTAAGGACATTCTAATTTTCCTTTACTTCAATGAAAATAATTGATTTGTTATACGGTCTCTTACGATTAGGCGACCGACTACAGTATGTGGTTTGACTCCTATAAGACAACTCTATGCTTAATGATAGCTAGCATCTAGCATGATCTAGCATGACTTGAAACTAGTCGAGTTCCTCGTCAAATAATTACGTGGTAGGCCGAAAACATAATGATTATAATAATCTAATAGTTATAAGCTTGTCCTGGATCAAGACGTCTCCAGTTCATCCGTCGGGCTTAAAAAAGTACTGATGCTTCTTGATTTTTTAAACTACGACTTGGGACCTGTAATAAAATAAACTCCAACTGAGGTAGGTATCTGTCATTAGAAGACTAGGAGCCAAAAATAGAAGCTGACTCAGGATTTGAATTTGCTATGATTCGACCAAAAAAGCTTTCCAAAACGTTTGAAATAGACATTAATAAGATACCACGGCCTCATAGAAAATAGACGTGAAACAACGCTTGCGTTGTGTTTCGTCGTGTGAGTGAGATCACCAGAGGCCGAATTACCCCCTTCCCCAGTGTCCCCCACAATCCTCAAACTCCTAATTCTCAAAAGGCCTGTAACGCACTTGTAACGCCTCTGGTGTTCCAGGTGTCCATGGGCGACGCCGATTGCTTACCATCAGGTGATCCACCTGCCCGTTTACCGGCTTATTTCATAAAAAAATCAGTTTTTTTTTTAATCTTGATAGGTCGATACATGTTTTAAAACCACCCCTCTTAGGTAGGGCTGTCAATCACACGTTGCATGTTCCCATAATATAGAAAATAAACGGTTGTTCACGACGCACCCCTGACGAGGCAACCGTGTAATAGTTAATTTAGAAGGAAGGAATAGAACATGTTGCAATTTGTTCTTGGAATTTGTCATCGCACAACTAACAAGCACAGCTCCAGCACAGCTTTAACCCAGCAATGTCTTTGTCATTTAAATATAAACTTTAAATCGTAGATCGTATGATATATTTCATAACGTCAATATTAAAAGGTTGTGCGCGCGCTACTTATGAAGCAAAAAGCGCTATGCCGGATCTCAATCTTCACGAAACCAACTTTTTAAACCACATAACATCACACCTTTTATCCCCGAGGGGGTACTCAAAGGTGCACATTACGGCACTTATTGCTACTGTGCAATGTAACACACACTTTTCACTATTTATGCTATTGCCATGCTATCTACTACTGAGATTTTTTTTTAAAACCAGCAATACTTCGCCCGACCCGGGAAATGAACCCGAGACCCCTTGCCCGGCAGTCGCATTTGCGACCACTCGGTCAACGAGGCAGTCAAGGCAATTAATTTAGTATGTCTCACTCAAATAAAACTAAAATTACTACAACAATTTAATCCTCCCTAAAACACAATTTTCTATATCCCTCCGTGTCCCTAATACATCTAAAACTTTAAATCTTGGCATTAGGGTCCGATATATAGGTAGTTTCCTTTCTACAAAGACGCCATTTCATTTTACCTTTTTCAATTTCGCGCCTTCAAAATCACGCGTCTTGTAAAAAACAAAACGTGTTGATGTAAAGCTGGGGCTACACTATTGCGAACGTCGAACACCGAACGTTGGAGAAAGGTCTTTAAAACTTTAGCTGTAGATCTTAAATTTGTACTTACTATAGTATTTTTCGATAAGAGAAAGAGAAGTAAGTTTTGGGTTTTATTTACAAATAAGTTTTTTTATGAAATCTTTTCCTAGTGTTTAAGATATAGTCAAATCAAGTTAAGTATGTGTTCTAAGATCACATCACCTAGTATTCGGAAATCAGCAAACGTGTTACGTTTTGTGATAATTATTTGTGTTTGATTTGAAGACTCTGCGATCTAATTAAACTGTCAAACACCGCGAGGACACCGGTGACCGCAACCTATTATTCTTTAATTGTGTTTATAATGACGGTACTCAAAGGGTTAAGAACACCATTTTCAGCAGTCGAATTTGTATCCATAACGCGTGGTCAATCAGTCCAACGAGTTCGTTCACAAAATAACCAACTGTGCCATGAAACGATACAATTTTAAAATATCAATGTGGTACAAAGTTGCGAACACCCTGTATGTGGCGCCGGCATAAGATTACACCAACCTGTATCAACCGTCACCCTAGGGTGTTCCGTTTTCACGAAAAATGTCCGATTCACGCACACGATTTTCTCCGGCGTAAAATGTAAGCTAAAGCGGGTAGCACAATGATTAAAAAAAATTGGATTGACGTTTTTAAATAATATACAATACACTTTGTGATGACGATAAGTTGATCATTTGGCGATGATATAGTGGGTTGGTTTACTTCAGTGGTGTCTAGATAATCTTAGAAAGTACATGTAATTCGGAAAAAGTCACATTGCCTTGCCGTTGATAGGTTTTGAACCCGCACTCACATGCATGTTAAACGTCCGGGCTACCACGACTTTTCGTAATATTTTGGACATAATTAAGATGCCTGTTTACAGATGGATATAGACGATGTTATGTTAAGAAACCTTATGTTAAAATAACTCTCTTAATTTTCTTCACACTCGCTATCGCTCCCGCATTACACCATACCCTGCACCCTCACTTGACATGGGTACGCCATTGTTTTACAGTTTTTTTATTCACTCAAGCCATTCGCGAACACAATGTAAAATATACAATTATACGAGTATGTCTAGCGTTTTGTAGCCGTTCAGTAATTATGTGGGTTCCCTGTTAAACTGCCGAGTTTTTCCGAGTTTTTCCGAGTTTTTCGAAAAGTTTTTAGCTCGTAAGTAACGTCCTTGAAGCTTTTGTTTAAGACGTGTCGAATTTTTTACGTTGGTCTCTGTTTTGTCTGGATTTTTCTATATAAATAAGATTTTTAGCCTGATTCGTTGGTGTGACTAGAAATTTTCCTTTTCTTCTTTTTAATGGGATATGCTGGTAAACGAGCAGGCAGATTACCTGATGTTAAGCAATTTGCGTCGCCCCAGGATACCTGGAACAAGGACCAGAGGCGTTACTAGTGCGTTACCAGCCTTTTGGGGATTAGGAATTAGGATTGTTAGGGATTCAGGGATAGGGGAGATTAGTATTATTGGGTTTTTAAAAAAATCTCAATAGTAAGTGGCACGGAGTCTGGAATTGTGCCCAATATATGGCAATAGGCTCATCCCTAATACATGGGACTCATAACATAAATAGTGAAAAGTGGGTGTTATGTTGTATAGTGGCATTAAATGCCTTAATCCTTCGGGTATAAAAGGCGTGATGTTATGTTATACTCGAATATTTTCTGTAAGAAATAACAGGCGTGCGAAGCAGGGACGGGTTGCTAGTCAATAAAATAAAGAGCAAATGTGGGCGTTTACACGTAGGCGCGAATGTTATGTTTTTAAACGACTTTCTGTCTATTTGTGTCGTGAAAAGATTTTTGATAGAACTTACAAAGTTAAAGTAAGTAAGTCATGTTACTTCTGAAATATAATATTTTAGTAATAAGGTCACTGTTTATACGGAGCTTATTAAATTGAACTTTCAGTTATGTACCTACAATACCTATTTGGAAAATAAAATGCGACAAGAAGTCATAACGTAATAATAATTCTCCGTCTGTCTGAATCTTGTGAAAGCTGAAAAAGATAAAGCAACTAAATATCTTGATTTAGCTCATGACATTGTCGACATGTGGGATGTGGATTCAGCAGTCATTGTGCCGATAGTCGTATCTGCCAATGGCCTCTTTGCTAAAAGCCTCGACCAACATCTGAGCAGGCTAGCGTTAGATGGTTGGGTCAAGGGCCTGATGCAGAAAGCAGTACTTCAGGACACGGCGCGTATTGTCCGGAAATTCCTTTCTCTGGAGCCCTGACCACCGGTAGCTTGGATTTTTCCCGTTACTGGTGGGCTACTGCTTTTTATATTTTTAAATGTTTTTTTTATATAATCAAATATTTAAAAATGTATAAATCAAGTATAGAGATAAATAAAGGAAATAATTCTCTGTCTTATATTAGTTCTACCTTCTGGCAGTGGTTTCGTCCGAGTTCCCGTGAACTGAAACGTAGGCTGTGTGTCATTATAGACCATAATCTACCCATCTTCCAAATTTCATCCCGATCGCTTCAGCTGTTTTCACGTGATGAAGTTAGAAACGAACAGAAACTATAGCATTTATAATACTAGTCATCAATCATCATCAACAGGCCCAATTACCCTCCACTTCCCCAATCTCCCCAGTCCCTAAATCCCCAACGATCCTCAAACTCCTAATCCCCAAAAGGCCGGTAACGCACTTGTAACGCTTTTGGTGTTCCAGGTGTCCATGGGCGACGTCGATTGCCCTTACCATTAGGTGATCTGTCTGCTCGCTTACCGGATTAGGCTATTAACTCGTCGAGTACCGTATTTATAGACACAATTAAAGAACTATAGGTTGCGGTCACCGGTGACCGCTTGGTGTTTGACAGTTTAAAAAAACAAAAAACTGCTGGGCATAGGCTTCTGCAATGGCACGCCACTGAGCTCGGTCTTCAGCTCTTCTCAGCCCACTATTACCAGCCACCTTGCGGATATCGTGACTCTATCTAGCTGGAGGGCGCCCTACACTACATTTGCCCAGACCGGTCCACGTCTGCCCACCTTTTCAAAAGTCGTGATGAATTAATGTAATTTTACCACCTGTCCAGGTCGTCCAATAGCGCGGGTCTCGTGGTGGAAGGCCCACGCACTGCTCGCCAACTCCGAGGCGAGGGCTACCGTCTCATTCAGGCTGCAAAGGTCTGACTTCGGCACTGATGTTACCTGTCAGGTAAGAATAGTAATACAATCATGAGATGAAACAATGTCTTAATATTGTAGGATTTATTGGTCGTGCAGAAATTTTCATAAAGCTTCATCGATTTAGTTTTTTATATATTACTAGCCTCTTCCCGTGACTTTGTACGCGCAATCCCGTTTTCTCCCGTTTACATAAGATTTTCAGGTTTTTTTCTATCATAAGAACCTTCTCCTGACAATAACAAACACAATAAAAAAAATCTGCCGAATCGGTCCAGCCATTCTCAAGTTATGGCGTGACAACGGGAAACGGGATTCGTCTTTATAGAGGTATATTTTAATTTTTATATAGTATATAGATTTTTGAGTAAATATTGTTAGAAAAATCTTAATCTAAGATACTACTACTTAAACCTAAAATAGATCTAATGTATATTATTAACCATTTCTCATTGGTATTCATAGATAGTTATGGAAACAAGTGAATAAATATTTTATTTTAATTTTATACGTTTTGTTTACAGGCCGTCACCGACCCTCTTATAGCTCCAGTTTCAGAAAACATATCGATTGATGTCAACTGTAAGTATTAGATTACTTATTTAGATATTAAAATATTCCATATCTACATTCATAGTATGAAGAGGGAAGATTTGAATTTTGTTTGTTTGTTTGTTTATTTGAATTGAATCTCCTCCGAAACTACTGGACCGATTTGAAAAATTCTTTTACCGATGGAATCCTACATTATCGATGATGGACATCTAATTAGTCCGTCGGTTAGACAATATAAATTTATTAGTCACGTATTTTTTTATTTCCTCGTATTAAGTGGTAATACTTAGATAAAATGGCACTAAGTTGAGGAGTGGGAGGTCATTACGTCATAACGTGCTACAAAATGTGGCACACTGTGACGTCACACGATATTTCAAAGTAAATATATCGTCAAAAGTATTTACTCTTGTGAGAAAAGAAAAAATACGCGCTAAAGTTTTAAATTAATGTACCAGACGGACATTAATATAAAATTTAGGAAACTACCTTATTGCAAACCTGTGACACAATCAAAATAAGTACACAGAGGAAAAGAATTAACTTGTAATTTTTACCGACTTCAAAAAAAGGAAGAGGTACTATGTTCGGCTGATTGTTTTTTTTTAAAAGATATCTATAGTTTCATTCATCATAGAATCATTGCTTACTACGTGTTACATTTTCACAACCAAAACGCAAAACGTAAAGTTACCTCTCACAAACGCCTAGCCTAAACTTCTAAGTTTAAGTTCTGATAACTTAAACCTGTAAGTAAGCGTTAAGCGCATCACCACGGTAACTTTAATCTTAGTCCAAAAGTGTTAAATCAGCGAACTATAACTTAACTAACTTAAACAGTTATTAGACATGTATTTTAGTTAACTTTAACTTAGGTAGATTATTCTTAGTAGTATTAGACCATAATGAATATAATGTATCAAGTTTGACTCCCGTGTCGATTGAAGCAGGTAAATACATAATACTAGTTTTGTCAAATTACTGCCTGACTGACTGCCTCGTTGGTCGAGTGGTCGCAAGTGCGACTGCCGGGTCTCGGGTTCGATTCCCGGGTCGGGCAAAATATTACGGGGTTTTTTTAAAAAATCTCAGTAGTAGCACGGAGTCTGGAATTGTGCCCGGTATATGGCAATAGGCTCACCCACTATTACATGGGACTCATAACATAAATAGTGAAAAGTGGGTGTTACATTGTACAGCCATTAAGTGCCACAGTGGCATTAAGTGCCGTAATGTACACCTCTGCCTACCCCTTCGGGGATAAAAAAGGCGTGATGTTATGTTATGTTTTGTTAAATTATTGGTTTCCTATTACAATTAAATTAATATACCGATTCTTCTGCTTTCTTGTCCTTATCTAGAATTACTTGGAATCGGCGCACTGTGTCCTTCATTTTACTTAATGAAACGCCGTTCTATTCCAAAGCTTTGTCGCGGAGAACCTAATGGGTTACCGGGGCTCCGGCTCGACGTGCAGGAGAAGGAACGGGGTGGTTTTTAGTCAGTAAGAGTCTGACGCTCCCTTCCGCTTCACCCAGGCGGGAGCAGTGATTCGATGATTTTCCCCCCTTAAAAAAAAATCCCAACGTTTTATTTATTTATTTTTAGCCATGGTTGTCCCACTGCTGGACAAAGGACCCCCTATCCTCCTTCCACTCGTCTCTTCTTATAGCTTTCTGTGGCTAAAGCTTTATGACAATAATAAAATCACTATATCTCCTTATAAATTGATACTACAGAAAACACACCAAATCCCCTTTAAATATACAATTACATGGAATTTTAAACGATGACTTATGCATTTGGAGTTAGTAAGAAACTTAAAAGTACTATAAACACACCTGCTTACCCCTTTATGATTAACAAAACATCATATCGATCTCATTACGAAAATAAAACCCATCACATCACATTAGACTAAGACATAATTAATTCGTTTCCTTCCATGACAGAACTTTCTCTAAGCATCTTAAATCCATGCATTAGGAGCCAGATATATTTTTTCTGATACATTAAGGGCCCTTTTACATTGGTGCATGATGGTCGCACGATCAGTCGCGCAACTGTGGTATCTATAAAGACATTAGAGCAAACAGTATGGTTAATTGTTGAGTCTGAATTCACAATGAGTGCATTATATTATCACTATATGTTATAGATGTTAAGGTTGAATAATAAAATAAATTAATTTTGCCTTCGACAATCACCTTGGTTGCGTCACCAAGTTGACACCAATACAGATGATAATGATGTAGTCGATTTCGTACATAGTTTACTTGATGGAACTTATTTATACCGATGCTATAAACCTCATGACACATACGGTAATCTAATCGAATGAGTAGAATAATCAGCATAAAAAGAATTGACACTCAAATCCGACTATTATATTTAACAACTTATTCACGTATATGTTTGACGAGGAACTTGACTAGTTTCGCGCCTCGATAGGGGCTCATATTCATAAGCAGCATAGTAACACATAAAGCGGCGAACGCCACCATACATAGATTTTTATATTCATTCGATGTAACTGGACTGCCTCGTTGGCCGAGTGGGCGCAAGTGCGACTGCTGGTCAAGAGGTCTCGGGTTCGATTCCCGGGTCGGGCAAAGTATTACTGGGTTTTTAAAAATCTCAGTAGTAGCACGGAGTCTGGAAATGTGCCCGGTATATGGCAATAGGCTCACTCCCTATTACATGGGACTCATAACATAAATAGTGAAAAGTGGGTGTTACATTGTACAGTGGTATAATGTGCACCTCTGCCTACCCCTTCGGGGATAAAGGCGTGATGTTATGTTATGTCAATGTAACTGGAGTTTATATATACCATTTGTCTAGAAGGGCTATTGAGATTACTTGCTCAAAGCATTCGGTAGTATTTTGTACATCTTGCGATTTGGTCGCGCCACTAAGTTGTACTAGTGTAACAGGCCTCTAAGAATCTTCCCATAACACATGAACCCCCTTTATTGATTGACGTATTATTACCGATACAGATTATATTCCTTCATGACTTGCATATATCTATTTCCATCTCACTCACACCTGCATAAGAAAATCTACCATCTCTCTCTAACAAGATGGAGTTATCTTGTCCATTATTTACGTTGTGTCGGTATATGTGAGTACGAAAGTGTTATTGATATTAATGGTTTAAAGTTTTTGTTTAGAAAAGTTGTGGGGGTTGGTTAAAATTGATTAATTTGTTAGTTAATTATGTTTGGCACGAGGAAATATGTGCATGGTTGTAAATAAACAACTTTTGCATAATATGGCTGTTTTTTTTCTTCTGCTCTCATGATATCTTCTGATTCACTTCGTTGCGGGAACCAAGACAGTTATTCATGTCCCCGGGACGCGCCGGACTTCAGTGTTCCGGTGTTTTCATGGCTGTATCTACTGTAGATCCTGGCTTACAGGAGTTGCAGCGGTTTTGGGAGGATGTGGCGGGCTTGTCCCTAAAAAAAATAATACTGCTGTATACTTTTTGGAAAACTAATCGTAACATGAATATATAATAAAAATAAAATTGATGGTACTTCATATTTCGAATCTTCTTTTATCAATGTTTTTTTTTTCTCCTTCAGGAGTCATAAATAAAATTAGACGCCCGTTGACCTAATTTCGCGTAAACTAAATAAACTAATACAGCATAAAAAAGGGCATGGATTAAAAAAATACGTCGCATAAAACATATAAGGTACCTACGTTCTTAAACACTAATACAAACACATGTTTATTTCTAAGCAAAGACATACAATGCCTAATTTAGCTGACACGAAAAAAATTCCAACAACACACATAAATCAACACCAATACAATCCAACAGCCAATCAGAAGCCCTTTTCTTAAAAGATGGCGGATTGCCGCGAAAATCGTGACCTCTCATAAATAAAAGAAATTCCTGGAAAAAAGACGCTCGCGACATAATTAGGGTTGCCAAATTTTATAATAAAATGTAGAATAGGTATATCTGATAACCCAGAAGGTAAATAAAGTGATGTAATTACAAAAAAAAACAAAGAATTCATTAAACATTTTGAACACAGCATATTAGAATTCATTAAACATTTTGAACAGAGCATTTTTCGTACATTTTGTAGCACATAGCACAAAATAATTTTGAGGCCAACGTCCAAACCACACTGTATAAAAAGGTGTATTTTAGCGTTACGCGTTAACGCGCTAATCTCCGAAACTCCTGCTTCAAATTGAATACTTATTCTTATGTTGTATGTTTAATTTATAGACAATGGTTATAATCTATAAAACATTATGCTGAGATCTATAGGAGCAGCGCAGCACCTAAAACTGCAAGGGAACAGCCAATAGAGTATGATACTCTTTTTTAGAAAACGATTGGCAACCCTGGATATAATCACGTCATATATAACTTCGGAGATGATAATCTAAAGGCCTAATTGACAGGTCGATATACACTTTTGTTGGCGAACGTACTGACACCAAAGTTGAGGTGAATGGATGCGGGTTTTTTTTGTTTTTTCGGTATTTTTGTTGATTTTATGTGTGATTTACTTATTTTTCGGTGAACTTGGGGTGTATGATTTTTTTTAAGTGGGAACATTTGTCCAAAGCCTGCCCCCGCCTGGGTGAGGCGGGTGGGAATGTTACTGATTCGTAATCGTGGATTTAGAAGTATTTTGTGCTAAGTATTTTAGTGTTTAATCCACACTTGCAGATACATATTGCATGTAATTAAGCAATTAATGAATACCTACTAAGAAATTACCCAGTCTTCGATACTTAATGAGTAAGCACTAAGTGATTAAGTAAGTACATGTACCTTTTTAATTACATATGTAGCCACCTGTATTTAACCAAAGACGGGTTTTAGTAATTGTGGCAATTAATTTAAGTCGTATGATTTATAGTATAAAGTTTAATGTTGAATGGTAAATTTTTAACTTGGATTTGCAGGAGTGAGAAATATTATTTTTAAATATAGATTACTTCTTACCTACATATTAAGAAAACATTGTTTTACCGGTCGCAAGAGAGAC